CCCAAACCCGCCCACGTTTGTGTAATTCTGTCTGTTCAACTCCTATACTCCTATGTTATTTCCCAGCCCCCCATCTCTTCCAGCATGACACCACAAAAACACCTTTTTAAAAAAAAACCTTCCTCCCACTACATTCTTTTCTGCTTTACAACAACACCTATCCGCGCTTGCGCGCTCGCTAGGACACCCCCACCCCCTTTTCCACACCCCAATCTTTTGCTCAAAGCAAGCACAGACGTCCCCGTGATCGCTGCCGCCGTGTTTTTTTTTTCTATTCGTCCTGTTATCTCTACTTTTTCACCGAGTTCTCGGACTGACAACAACAACTCTCTCTCTCTCTCTCTCTCTCTCTCTCTCTCTCTCTCTCTCTCTCATCTGCAGTCGGGCTGTGGGGCGGTGCAGGTCGGTGCAGCCACAGAAGCGGGAAACGGACAGAACGACAACATGATAGCGGCAGTTGGACCATAGGATGCTACTGCAGATCAGAAACACGACCTTATCAGGTCAACAGAGAGGCCGAAATCGCGAACACAACTCCCTTCCATAAAACAGAAGGACGGCTACCGAGTTATCCGATTGATAAAATTTGAAGCCAATATAGATGGCAGCAACTGTTGTTTCGGTTATATTTTCATAATGGGCGTTCTTGATGTGTTACTGCCTCCCACCGCCCCCAAACAAAATATATCCTGATCTAACTGAAAAAAAAAAGTTTCATATCAGGCGCATTTAAATCATCTCATATTTGGAAGGGTTTGTTTGAAAAATATACAGACAATGGTCACTCTAACTCCTTAAATAATTATTGTTTACAGTGACGTAGACCTTTTCATGCCAGTCTAGCTATTACGCCGTCTGTTCCTCTCTCCACTTCTGCGGATGCAGCAAACGGCGTCGCGTTGCGCAGCGCAAACGTGCAATCATCAGCAGCACAATACCACACCATACTGCACCACACCGCACCGTCGCCCTCGCACAACTTTTTTTTTTTAATGAACAGCACCTCCCCGCCCCGCCTCGCCTGTACCGCGCACCATACCTGGCACATAGCCAGACACGTGTGTGGCGCGAAAAAGAAGTACCCGGTAAATCTGCATTACCATCGTCCGGACTACGACCCACATCCAACACGCACACATACATACATACACACACACACATACATACACACACACACACACACACG